TGGGTAGACAGGAACGACATCTAGAACGAACAGACGTGTCATCGTTGAAGCATCATGAGTCATCCCTGACATCCTTCTGCCTCATAGTCTCGATCATCGTCTCGATCTGTCTTGAACATTTCACTCGCTGCTCCTCGCAGTTCTCAAGTTGACTTGTCAACGCTTTGACCTGAAAAAGACGAATGTTTTACAGCAACGCTTTGTCGTGAAAGAATTTGCCTGCTGCTGCTCTGATCGTAAAACGATTTCATCCCTGGCGTGTTGCCATGTACAGAAACAACTCTTCTTCATGCTCATCACAAGTTTGTTCTGCAACAACCATCCTTTCTTGATCAACATTCTTGAACGAGATGTTCTGAAGCTCCAAACAGAAATGACATGCCAACTAGCGAACTTCCGTCGTGAAGAGATCAGTCTGCAGAGCCTGCGTGAGGACAACGATCAGCGACGTCGATGATGTCAAAATGTACAACATGTCAAAGTGTACAACACCTGATCCTTTCGCTCCTTGCCTTCGTTGCAAACCATCGAAGCTTGCAGAATGAAAGCAGAGATGCTCTTCTTTCACTCCTCAACACCTTTCTCTTCACTCGCACTTCTGTCCTCCAACAACGAAAGAACACAAAAAGTTGAGCAGAGAGTTGAAGTCTCTTGCCTGTCCCTCTGAACCCGTGCAAGCTCCTCATACCAATCAGCCGCTGTGAATGAGACCTCGGGACGAGGCAGCAAAGATCTCGCAACCGAGACATGCGGCAGAGGTTGTGATGAAACATCTGAGATGAGTCAGAGATGAAGAGGGTAAAGAGAGTGTTTGACCTGAAACATGAAAGCAAGGCGGAGATGACGGACATGATGAGTCAGTGACGAAGAAAAAAACTTGTTCTTCAATCTCTCTGCGCAAACAAATCTCAACGTTGCGCAAGGAAGCAAGAATCGACAAGAAAAACAAAGATAGACAAACAAGGGTTTTCCAAGGAGAGCAATACTGACTTCTCACGCAGAAACTCAACAGGTGCTGGAATGTTTGCCGCTTTGTGATCAGCTCAACGATGCATCTGTTCACTTTGACAACCACTTGCTGTTTCTGCGAAGAAGTGCTGAATGCAATAATGTGATAGGACCGCAACAACCTGCCTGAAACTTCAACCTCGCACCCTCCCACGTCTCCTCCGACTCTTCTCACTTGTCCAGTTTGTTTGCTGCTCTTGTCCTGCTGGTAGACGAGAGGAACATGTCGAACAGCCTCGTTTCTCTGCCCTCGCTCATGACACGTTTCCACTCCTGCACGACCCTTCCCTTCATTCTCAGTCTTCCAGCATCCATACACGTCCACATCTCCACCCTCAACCTCCTCCTGTTTTCAGCGGCAAGGTACCAAGTCTGCAAGATAACAATCTTCCTTCGCAACCTGACAACACACAAACAAGGATCAGACTTGCTTTTCAGAGACATTCCCTCCAAACTCACATGATAGCCTGACATCTCCACATCACCTTCCAACAAGAAAAGGCTCGTTTGCAGTTGAAGCATGCGAGGTAAGACGAAACTTTGTTCATCAGCCAAATTGTTCTTGACTCGTGCTGTCTTGCACATGACCTCCAGGATCGAAATACCAAGGCTACCACCTTGCGCGATTGGCACCTTGCGTGGAATGTTTGCAGCTGTTTCAAACATCCAATCTTCTCACTCCTCGTCTTCTTCGCGATCTCCATGTCAAGGAACAAGCTCCCTTGCATCGCACACAGTACATGTTTCCTCAGATCCGTCAGCTCCCCCGACATCTCCAGGAGAGACAACTTGTTCTCGTCCGATCTCCCTTCTACCGAACAATGCCTCTCCACTAGCTTGCATGCCGACGAAACGCTCTCCACCATGGTCGACACCCCTGACAACGATGAGCTGTCAGAGGTGAGAGGAGGAGGAAACTTGTTGACAACAAGTGCACTAGGAGTTGAGGCGAACAGATCAGTCCTCTCAGTTCTTACCGGAGATCGCCAACTTGAGCAAACGCCTCATGTCTTGGTGCATCGACTTTAACGAACGGCAGTCAACATCTCTCTCCCCATGGCCTGCCGGGGGCTGGAATCGGAACTTGAAAACGTCGGCTCCTCTGAAGAGATCGTCGTCTTCGAGCTCCGACAGACTCTCTCCGCATGCCTCGTCTTCGACTGCCCCTTGATCGCTCCTCCGGCAGGTCTCAAGGATGCTTCCAGGCGTGTCTGCAAGCATGCTGAAAGTACTACGTGCTGAACGTCATAGCAGCCCTGCCAGCATGTCAGGAACGCGATTTGACTCATGGCAGATGACTGTCTTCAACCTCGTTACTCCTCCCTCCTCCCTCCTCCCTCCTCCTCTCCTCCCTCCCTCTCCCCCCCTCCTTGACTTTGGTCGCTACGTTGACTAGCTTGCCAGAGGCCTCGGAATATCATTTATGACCCACCCCTTTCTGATATATACCCGGTTTATATACCCTGTTATTTCATATCAAAAGTACCCGTTATGTCAATATTAGCTCCACCCCCACCCCACTTTATGAGCCGTTTGGCGCCAAAAAAATTAAGCAAAACGGCGAAGGGGAGGGGAGAGGAGGGGAAGAAGGGGAGGGGAGGGAGAGGGAGAGGGAGAGGGAGAGGGAGAGGGAGAGGGAGAGGCAGGAAGAGGGTGACTGAGAGTGAGGGGAGGGAGAGAGGACGGAGATGGGTTGGGACAGATGGCAAAGGGAGCGAATGTGTGGAGTTTGAGAGCAACAAGCTGGATCAAGTAAAACGTAACAGGGAGAGATCGGAAAGAGACAAGGAGAAGATGAGTAAGAAGAGGAATTACAGTAACATCAGGAACATTTGATCGAGATGTCATAGTTATTGTGCGTAGCTAGACTCTTTGCCAAGGCAAGAAGAAAGTTTGGAAGACTTTGATCCAGCTTAATCGATTCAACCTTGTCTCAGCAACCTAGAACTGGAACAGAAACACAAATCAAGATCGACATGCGAGAACTCTTGACTGACTTTTGAGACCAGGAAAGTGCTCGAAATTCAACAGGTGGTACATCACCATTTCACACACACACTGCAAGGTTGCTGCGTCAAGTGTATAGATGTTGGACGGGAGACGTCTGACTATTAACGAACGAGCCGCCAAGTTGTTCACATCAGCAGGCTGCGGAGACTATGCTGCGGTGCAGGAGGTTCTGGAGCAAGACAAGGATCTGCTGAGGGAAGTAGATCACGACGGGCTGTTCGCGGGATGGAACTGTTTGCACTGGTGTGCGCAGCAGGGGCATGTAGAGGTAGCGAAACTTCTCATGGACGAGGCAGAGGTGTTGGGCATCGAGAGCCCGACGCTGGTGGACATGCAGGACAAGGTGCGTGAGGGTCGTGCATGCAGGAGGACGGTGATGGGGTTGAGTGCAGGAGGGCGATACCCCTCTGCACATCGCGGTGAGCTGGGGTCATGCTGAACTCGCGCGGATGATGATCAGCCGCAATGCCGACGTGAAGATCAGGAACGACAAGAGGAAGACAGCTCTCGATCTTGCTACGGAAGGTGCGGGTGATGAGATGGGGGGTATCAGCAGCTGTGTGTTTGATCTTTCCTTGTGCAAGCAGGGTTCAGGAAGCAACTCAAAGAGTTTGCGAGGATCTCGAGCGCATGACAGAGACGGAACTATCACCTCTCCCTTCATTCTTTAACAATCTAATTTCCTTTTACACTTGTATCCTATGCTAGAGCACAGTCTGCGTACTTGGCAAAGCAGCAGATGGCCAACAACAACCCAGCGATCACGCAAACAGCAGTGATCATAATCTTCTCGTTGAAGAACACACCCATAATTCCCGTAGGCTTCAAGGCCGAGACGTCGACATTCCCATCCTCTCCGCTGACTCCTTCGTGCTCCTCCGATCCCTTGGACCCGCTCGCCTGCTCAGGCTGAGCTGCTTCAGACTCTGAGGCAGCAGAAGCAGCAGGAGCAGGAGCAGGAGCAGGAGCTGCGGTTTCATTGCTGCTCTGGAGCATGTTTCCGTGTGCCATCTTGACCTTCATCATGGCGGCGTGCTGGCTCAGCTTGAGTGAAGGCTTCTGAATGCTCCTGGCCTTGAGCGCATCCTCCATTTTCTTGCTCGCTGGCTGTGCTGCTGCATGGGCGGCTTGAGGATGAGCAGGAGGCGCGGATGCCTTCTTCTTGGCGGCCAACGAGGCGGCTACTGACAGCGCATGCATCTTAGCCTTAGTCGAGCCTGTCAAGACCTTCTCTAGCCTTGACTGAGGGCTTTCGCTAGAGTGGTCGACCAGGGCGGTGATGGCAAGGACCATGGACAAGGCGCAGATAGCAAACATGATGCTCTTGCGGTTATTGCGCTGATCCACCTGGTGCTCGAGAGTGCTTCCATACTCCATCTGTTTCCCCGGGCCCTGCGACAAAACCACCATCAGTCTGCGAGTATAAAGCGAGCGACGGTTTGCAGGTTGCAAAGATGGGAAGAGCAAAATCAAAGATGAAGATTCCATGATTGCGTTGATGACAGGGGGAAGGAGAACACAGGGGGGAGGAGAACGAAGATCAAGATTAGAAGACGACTCAAGGAGATGGAGATCATGGATTCGTTTTTTTCCAAGACAACAGCAAGAGTTGGGGATATCGTTAGGAAGAACAACATCCCCTTTCAACACTCTGAGCCTGCAACATAATTCTCTCTACTTCATCACTGTGAATAATTCTTTCATCTACTATTTTAACTGAGCTTTACCTTCATTTACTATCACCGCCTCACGATCCCTCACACCTTCCTTGCAATGACACGCTCCCTTAATGTTAGATGTCCGCTTGCATCCTCGTCTCTCCCCACACCGAGCCATGTACAACTCATCTCATCAGCCCTCTGTGCTACTCGTCTCTGCCTCCCTCCATCGCGCTCCCCTCCCTCCAACTCCTCCTTCCTTGCTCACCATGACGCAGGGCGACGGGACAGCCGGCATGGATGATCTATTTCCGGACAGGAGGATTGAATAAGAAGGGGTGGCTCGGAGTACCCCAGGTCAATCCATGTGATGTACCGGGGTATATCTAGCGAAAATCGAGCTCAAAGTGGTGGGTAGGGTAGTATGAATCGAGGGTAGGGTGCTTCGTTACTCGACGAATTTATCAAATGCTAAAAATGATTTAAAATTATAAATACTGCATATTGATTGTACAACTAAAGAGGACAAGAAACTACTGTTGTTGAAATGATAGGAGTCATCAGTTACTGAATGAGATGTATGAGTAATAGTTTTTATACAAAATATTTTATATATAAAACAACTCAATACAAAAATTATTTTAATTTTAAAGATCACTTGTAGCCGAGCCAGCATGCTAGCGACTACGAGGATGGCTGGATGCATGGGGTACTCAGAAGGGGCAGTGGGGGGTACTTGTATGATGATAAGGGGGTAGTATTGGAAGGGGTGTTTTTAGCTATAATTGGTATGAAACAGAGGGGTGGGGTGGGGAATGGAACTGCCCGACAGGAATTCTGCCAAGGAAATGTCGTTGGCAAATGAAGTTTTCCGAGCATGCAGACTGAACGGAGGAAGCGGAAGGGGAGGAGAGCAGGGAGTGAGATGAGTAGATGTACAAGAGAGATACAAGGGAGAGAACGATTGAGGTGGTGGAGAAGGAAGAGGAGGTGATGGCGACTGCGGCGGGGGAGGGGGGGCAGGTGGGGAGGGGCAGGGGGATGCAAAAAGGGTGAAAGTTTTTAACGAGAGGTTTCAAAGTCACTTGTCTGCACGTCTGGTCCAACTTTGAGAGAGTTCATGTTTTGCTTTCCTTTCACAGCTTTCCAGCTTGTGAACATAGTTCGTGAAGTGATTGCATGTATGAGGGCAGCCGATGAGTTCGGATTTCTTCCAAGAAGCCCTTGGCAGCAAGAGAAAATCGACAGATGGAAATGTTCTTGGTGATGACGGAGAAAGACTATATTCGAACATGTGAGAATCATGCAGGATCAGGGAGAAGGTCGTCCACTGAGATGCTTCTCGAGGAGGTCGCGAGAGAACCCCACAAGCTCTATGTCAACCGATTGTGATGGTCTGACCACTGATGTTCCTACCATGAACTTTTGGACAGGATGAAATCACGAGGGGTTGGAGTTAAGGAGATGAAGGGAGAAGAAGCAAAGAGGAGGAGAATCAGCGCAGATGCAACTGAGAGGGAGGGAGCAAACTTTGTGACCAAGAGCACGGGGCAGGAGCAAGGGAGGGATACCGAGTTGGTATCCCTTCCCCGTACCAGCAGCTATCTCTCTTCCCTCGAGGAACCAGCAGCTGTCATTCTCACATGCATCTACGATGAGATAAGGACGTGGTAAGTTTGAAGTCCAACCAGCAGAGCCTCTTCCAGTACTGTACTCTCCCCCTCAAAGTTCTTTGACAGCGTCCCTGATATATATCCTTCTATCATGTTCTGCATGTTGATCCCTCAAACTTTGAACTTCTCGCCGTTCACACTTTGAACTTTGACGAGTCCTCAGACTGTGAACTTTGATCTCTCTTGTCCGTGGGACTGACGAACTTGTTCGCTCTCAGTGTGAAGGCGTTGAAGCGGACGGAGGGTCTGAACGCGAGGCCCCACCAGGGGTCCTTGCGGTCCACAAAGAGGAGGCAGGGGGGGTGGAGGATCTGAACAAGACAAGTCGATCAAGAACAAGAACAAGAACAAGAGCAAGAGCAAGAACAAGAACAAGAACAAGCAAGAACAAGAACAAGTACAGGAATGAGAATGAGAATGAGAACAACTTGATGATAATGATGATGATAATGATGACGACGACGACATTCTTGTCCTTGTCCTTGTCCTTGCTCGTGATCTTGTTCTCGCAATGACCGAAATAGCGGAGTTGGTGATCTTGTATGTAGCAGTGTTGAAGCAGTCGCTGCAAGTTGTTGTGCAATCGTGATTTCCTTTGTTTATGGCTCTTTTGTTGTTCTTTTGTTTTCACAAGATAGTGTAACTATCTTGTTCGCCTGGCCAACATTACGATCCAACATATTTCTACTTTGTTGACTCGTTGAAATACAACCTGAACGAATAAAACATCAGCACAAGATGGCGCGGAGCAAAGAAGAGGAAGGAAGAGATCGCAGATAGAGCAACAATAACACCACCACCTCCTCCTTCTCCTCCTCCTCCTCCTCCTCCTCCTCCTCCTCCTCCTCCTTCTCCACCACCACCGCCGCCGCCGCCGCCGCCGCCGCCG